CAAAGCAATGATCATCCGTTTTGTTTTTGGAATGGGTACTTACCTGAAAAGCTGTCTTCACACCAAGCTTTGCAGGAGCCACCGAAGAGGAGCAGTCTCTAGACGATGAAGTTTCTCTTGGATGCAGTCCGTTCGGCGGTGCCCTGCTGAGTGCCCTTGAGGACGCTTGCTCCCGAGATTGCTGAGCGGCGGCTTGCGATGTGCACCTGGCGCTGACGCAGTTTGGTCCCAGTGCTCATGAGACCCAGCCCTTGCCCTCTGGGTCTCGTGTTGGGGGAGCGGGCTCTGAGAGGTCGGCAGGCTGCCAGTGTGCGGGTGAGCTCCTCTTTCTGAAACGCCGGGCTGCCCTTTGCCGTCAGGCCCTGCAGTGACTCTGAAATCCAAGCTGCATGAAGCCAATAGGCCCGACCCCGGGTCACGCTCAGGAGGCAGCACCTCCCTCCCCGCCCTTCCCGGGCTCTGTTGTGGCTGTTGTTCAGCTGCTAACTCGTGTCCGACCCTTCTGCAACCCCATGGACTGCAGCCCGCCAGCCTCTTCTGTGCAGGCAAGAAGCTGCAGTGGGTCGCCACTCCCTTCGTCAGGGGATCTTCCCCACCCAGGGATCGAACCTGCGCCTCCCGCATCGGCAGGGGGTTCTTTACCCCTGAACCACCAGGGAAGCCCTTCCCATTCTCAAGTACCTGCGGTGAGTAAGATATTAGGAAAGACAGGGCCCCAGTGGGACTGGCATAATTTGATCTCTCTTTTTACGTATGTGCAGAGCAGAAGATCATCTGCAAGAATCCTAAGGCCGCCAGGGTCCTCCTTTTCCCAGGCTGAGCTGTGTTCTCCTCCCCCTCCATGCTGAGGCCACAGTGAAACATCCCCACAGTGGTTCAACTCGGGCCTGAGCTTCACTTTCATAGAAAGCGGACTAAGGCTCAGCCCGGCTGAGTGAGACGGAGTTTGAGCCCAGAGCCGCTCACCCCACAGTGCCCTGGCTCCCACCTGATCACTTGGCCTGCCGTCCTCAGGAAGGGGAGTAGGGTTCGTAGAAGAGAGAGTGCCCTGGCTGAAACAACCAAGGAAGGACGTCTGACACCGTCTGGGTCCTAGTCCTCTCACTCTTATCCTTGTTTATGGGCTAGTGGACACTTTCTTTATGGAAGGAAAGACTTGCTCTGGTCAGAGGAGCAAGGACAAGGGGGATTAATGTCTAGAAAGTCGAAAAAGCTTGTACGCTCCTTCAGTCCATAGACCAGCACAGACCAAGTTAGCACATGGTTACCTCTGCCTTCCTAGAATATTATTGCCCCATCTTGTCTCCTGGGGTTGAAGTTTACTAAATTATTCATTACCCTTCCTCCAAGGTTGAAGGCCATTGAAGCGCTTTTGTCTCAGAATGGCCATCATCAACAAATAAACGTTGGAGAGAATGCGGAGAAACAGGAGCCCTCCTACCTTTTGGTGGAAATGTAAATTGATGCAGACACCATGGAGGATGGTATGGAGGTTCCTTCAAAAAAACTAATGGCGCGACCATATGATCCTGCAATCCCACTCCTGGTCATATACACGGACAAGACAAAAACTCTAATTCAGAAGGATCCGTTCACCTCAGTGTTCATGGCAGCACTATTTACAGTATGCAGGACGTAGAGCCAAACTAAATGTCCATTGACAGATGAAATGAAGAAGATGTGGAATATATATATATACACACACATATAATGTGAAGTATACACACATACACACACATACATGCATGCATATAATGTGGAGTATATATATACACACATACACACACATACATGCATGCATATAATGTGGAGTATATATATACACACATACACACACATACATGCATGCATATAATGTGGAGTATATATATACACACATACACACACATACATGCATGCATATAATGTGGAGTATATATATACACACATACACACACATACATGCATGCATATAATGTGGAGTATATATATACACACATACACACACATACATGCATGCATATAATGTGGAGTATATATATACACACATACACACACATACATGCATGCATATAATGTGGAGTATATATATACACACATACACACATACATACATGCATATAATGTGGAGTATATATATACACACATACACACACATACATACATATAATCTGGAGTATATACATATACATACACATACATACATATAATGTAGAGTATATACATACACACAAATACATGCATATAATGTGGAGTGCATACATATACATACATGTATATACATACATATAATGTGGAATGTATATATATACACATACATACATATTATGTGGAGTACATATATACACACATGCATGCATACATATAATGTGGAGTATATATGTATATATATACACACACACACGTACATATAATGTGGAATACATATATATGGAGTATTACTGAGCCATAAAAGGAATGGAATAATACCATTTGCAGCACCATGGAAGGACCTACAGATTATCACAGTAAGTGAAGTCAGCCAGCCAGAGAAAGGCAAGCACAGTATGATATTGCTTATACGTGGAATCTAATAAAAATGATACAATACAAATGCACTTATTTATAAAATACTCTCCAAACTGTAGACACAGCAACTCAAAGCTAAGAAACAGCTCGACTCCCCTTGTGAGGACCACAGAGAGCAGTCGACAGGGTCCCGCGCACCAGGGGAGGGGAGAGCAGCACGCTGAAGCCAACAGGCAGACACGCGGCACCCTCTCGCCATCACCTCCCCACCGGGCGGCCCAGCACTCCAGGCTGGGGGAAGACCCAGCTCTCGCTTGTCCTGGGGAGAGGAGAGGGCCGGGCCACAGAGCCAGGGGTCCGACTTCTCAGCAGCAGTCGGAGGGACTTATCTTTGCAACTTGCCTGAGTCTGAGGATCGAGAGGAAAGAGCCCCATGCTTGGAACCACTGAGAATGAGGCGCTGGTTGGAGCCAGCACACACTCACTGGCCCAGCACACCACTCCCGCTAGTGCACTGGGCCACCCCACAGTTTAACACAAACAGGCACCCCAAGCCCCAAATTCCAGCTCTTCTCAGAAGCAAACACTAAGAAGTGTTCCCAAGGATGGAGAGATCCAGCCATTTGTGCGCTGTTGGCAGGAAGGCAAAATAGAGCAGACGCCATGCAAAGCAATACAGCAGTCTCTCAGAAACGTGAAACTAGAGCTGTCACATGAGCCAGCACTTCTGCTCCTGAGTATACAGACAAAAGAGCTGGACCCGGGGTCCGGAATGGCTGTCTTTGCGCCCATGCTCATTACAGCATTACTCACAATAGCCAAGACACAGAAGCAACGTAAATGTCAGGATGATGGATAAAGACAATGTGGTATGTACCTACAATGGAATATGACGCAGCCTTAAAGAAGGAGGAAATGCAGCAATATATGACAATGTGGATGAAACTTGAGGACTTTCTGCTGAGGAAGTAAGCTAGTCACAGCAGGACAAACAGTGCATGCCTCCACTCATATGAGGATCTAAAGTCACGCTGCTCAGAGAAACAAGAAGTGGAGTGGTAGTTAAGAGCAGACGGAAACAGGATGAGCTGCTTCTCATTGAGTATAGAGCATTCACTGTGTAAGACGAAAAAGTCCTAGAGGTCTGCTCTACAATACTGTGTTCACAGATAACAATACTGCCCCATACACTGAAATATTTGTTAAGATCTCATATTATTTCTCAACTACAGTAAAATAAATATGTAACATTTAAAAGTAGGGGGACAAAGCAGTCAGAGACACAAAAGACATATTTCATTGAGGGAACAGCAAGAATTGCAGTTGGCTTCTTATCACTACAAAAGAAAGCACTGGATCGACAACATAAGAAAGGCTTCAGGAAAAACATTGAAAAAATTATACATTCAGTGAAAATATCCTTCAAAATAAGCAGTTCATGTAATTTGTTACTGGAATGTGCGCTGTTTTATGTTTTCAGTACTCAGAAAATTCCAGTGGTGCGATGATGATCACAGATGTGATAAAGAAATCCTGTCTTATATCAGCAGAGTTTCAGTTCATCTTCCTGAAATGAGGAAGCATTTCTTCCTCGATGTATCGGCCTGGAGAATTTTTTTTTCTACCACTGATACATCCCCAGTATCTTTCTTCTCCGATAATCCTGCCTGTGTTACACTGACTCACTAGAGACGTGTCTGGCGTTTTGACGTTTGCGCTGTGCCGTGCGCGGTCACCCAGTCGTGTCTGGCTCTTTGCGGCCCTCTGGGCTACAGCCCGCCAGGCTCCTCTGTCCGGGGAACGCTCCAGGCAAGAATCCTGGAGTGGGCTGCCCTTTTCCCTCCAGCGGATCTTCCCGACCCAGGGATTGGCAGGCGGGTTCTTTACCACTGAGCCACCGGGGAAGCCCCGTCTAGACCCTCAATAGAGATAAATACGACAGTGCTGGAAGCAATAGTGGCGCCGCTAGAATAGGGAGCTGCATCCACCCTTTATTGGTTACGGGCACTTTCCTACTAGCCACATGTGTTACAAGAGACTTATGAGCCTGTAAAGTAAACCAGACAGAAACAGGAATACTGCCAGATGATACCACTTAGACGTTTTTGTAACGTTTCTTCAAAGCATTAACTTTATTTTTTAAATTCATTTCTTTGCGTCCGTTTCTGCCATACAATAGCACAAATCAGCCATAATTATACACATGTAGCCTCCCTCTTACTACATGGGGTCTTAAAAAGAAAGTTGAACGCATAGAAGCACAGAGTAGAGTGGTGGTTGCCAGGGTTGGAATGTGGGGGAAACAGGAAGGTCTGCGGGACCCGAAGGCAAGTGTGCGGGTGAGCAGTGGGCAGGGACTCTGGGGTTCTGTGGGTCGCTCCCCGCTTGCCCAGCCCCAAACAGCCCACGCTGCCTCCCCGCTGATGACGAGTCCGTCTTCCTTCCCGCCCAGCCCTCTGCCTCTCTGGCCACGTGTCCAGCCCACCCAGCGCTGTCTCGGGTGGGGGCCCGCTTCACAGGGGCACGCAGTTCCACTGGTTCCAACCACGGGGGATGGCGATGTGACGCAGGTTGTGACTGATTCTCTGTACGATTTTGTTGGCTTTGTCTGTGTGGTTATACGCGGGGAAGCCGAGCTGGTCCAGAGCCCGGGTGTGGACAGCCAGCATGTGGGAGACGAGCCCGCGGCCCCGGTACTCGGGCAGGGTGGCCCCCATCCGGATCTCTCCTGTCTGGTCCATCAGGGACCAGGACACAGGGGTCCCCTCAGGCCCCAGCAGGCAGAAGGTGGGGAAGGCCCGGATACAGCGCTCGATGAATCTCTGGCTCCTCTTATTGCCACCAAAATGCCAGAATTTATTCACCAAAGCGGCATGCGTAGGATCCATGGATGAGAGCTTAAACATCTCCTCATTACTAGTGAGAAGAAGGGAAAAAAAAAAAAACCTCGTAAGTCACACATACTGTGAAGTATTATATATTTTTGCCCCCAAATTGTCTTCAGATGATGCATTTGAGAGCGCAGGCAAAGGCACAGATTCTGCAACGAGGCTGCCCAGATTCATCATTCAAAAGCGTGTTATTTTAACCAGGCAACATGATGTCTCTCTGCCTCCTTCCTTTATAAAGTGAGCCTATTAATTGTACCTTCCTCAAAAACTGATACAAGAGCAATTACACCATAAGCACCCAGGACTTGTGCCTACCCGCGTAAGAAGTACCTAAGAGTTAAGTATGTTGCTGTCGGCAAAGCAGTGACTCAGCATTTAATGAGGGACTTGATAACACCCCATTTTAGCGATAAGAAAAATAGGCAAACGGAAAATAGACAAGTGCCCGAACGCACATGCCAGCAGCTGGGTAAAACCAGAGCTTAGGAAGCATGGAATCGTAGACCGCTGGTGTCAGAGGGCCCTTGGCCACTATGGGCGCTGGAGTCCAGAGAGGGGAAGGGATGTGGAGTGCAGACAGCCCCCGAGGCACAGAACACTGAGCCTGAAGCATCTTCAGGCTGTAAAAGGGTTTGGGAGGGGCCTCCTGATGGCGAGCTAGGGGATCTGTGCTCATCCCATCACACCCTTAACTATCCACGTGACCCGAACAGGCTATGTCATCATCCGAGCCTGTTTCTGTCAGGAAAATAAGGATGAGATCTCCTATCTTGTCTACCTCCGGGGTGACAGCAGAATCCAGTGAGACTGTGGATGTGAAGGTGTTTCCAGGTGTAAGGGGATTGTTGCCCAGTCGCTAAGTCATGTGCATGCCTTAGTGCCTCCATGGACTGGAGCACGCCAGGCTCCTCCGTCCTCCACTGTCTCCTGGCTTTCGCTCAAATTCATGCCCATTAAGTCAGCGATGCTGTCTAACCATCTCATCCTCTGCCGCCCCCACACCCCTTCATGAATCACAGCCTTGCTGTGGCGAAGGGGCTTATGTAACCCAATGAACCTATGAGCCCTGCTCTGCAGAACCAGCCAAAACGGACGGGTCATAGTGAAGCGTTCTGACAAAACAGGATCCACTGGAGAAGGAAATGGCAGCCCACTCTAGTATTCTTGCCTGGAGAACTCCATGGGAAGTAACGTATGATACTGCGAGTAAAGCTCTTCCAGTCCTTTTAACACACAGAGGACCATATGGCTGGGCATCTCTGAAGAAACAGCATTTGAGAGTATGAGTGACAATAAAGAGACAAGTATATGAGGATCAGAGGGAAGGACATTGTGGGAAGATAAAGGGCAAATCCAATGGCCCAAAGCTATGTGTGGGTGTGTGAGATCAAGTTGCATAAAGAGGGTCAGAGCTGCTGGTAGGAGTAAGCAAGAGCGATGGGATAAAGTCCAAGAGGTGATGTGTTCCAGGTCTTTTGGACCTTGGAAGTCCATAAAGGACTTTGACTTTGATTTTATTTTCTTGGGCTCCAAAATCACTATAGATGGTAACTGCAGTCACCACCAAAAAAAAAAAAAAAATTCTTTGTCATTGGAGGAAAAGCTATGAGAAACCCAAACAGTATATTAAAAAACAGAGATACCACTTTCCTCACAAAGGTCCATCTAGTTAAGGCTATGGTTTTTCCAGTGGTCATGTATGGATGTGAGAGTTGGACTATAATGAAAGCTGAGTGCCAGAGAATGGATGCTTTTGAACTGTGATGTTGGAGAAGACTCTTGAGAGTCCCTAGGACTGCAAGGAGATCCAACCAGTCCATCCTAAAGGAGATCAGTCCTGGGTGTTCATTGGAAGGACTGATGCTGAAGCTGAAACTCCAATACTTTGGCCACCTCATGCGAAGAACTGACTCATTTGAAAAGACTCTGATGCTGGGAAAGATTGAGGGCAGGAGGAGAAGGGGACGACAGAAGATGAAATGGTTGGATAGCATCACCAACTCAATGGACATGCGTTTGAGCAAACTCCTGGAGATGGTGAAGGGCAGGGAAGCCTGGCGTGCTGTAGTCTGTGGAGTGTCGAGAAGTCAGACACGACTTAGGGACTGAACAAGAACAGCAAGCTGAGCCACCTCAGTGGCCTCCCAGCAGGTGAGTGGGCGTAATCCACATTACACGCTGAAAGCATCGCTCTGGAAATGGGTTGCGGGGAGCCAAGGGTGAATGTCGGGATAGAGCTTGGGGGCTGCTGCAGCACTGAAAGAGCATCTTTTTTCCAACTCACATGGCTTTGGGTGCGCCATATCCAACAGGTAAGTTCTTTGTCTCTGGCAGGGAAGGAAGCAGTTTCCTCGCTGTCTCAGGCATCACGTAGAGAATGCACTGTGTGTGCTCGACCTTAGCAAATTTAGCGGCTGCAAGATTCTGTATCACCTCATTCAGGCTGGACTGTGAACCTAGAGAGGGGTAGTTAGGAGAGGAGTAACTGCCCCTGTAGATGCCTCAGGAAGCTTCCCAACAGACCTGGCCAGGAGTTAAAGTCAGCAACTCTGCTTCTGGTGTTGCAAGTGGCCGTGTGACCATGGCCACATCACTGCCTAAAGCTGTTTGCTCTTACCCAGTACAGAGATAAGACTAGAAATACTGTGGAATCAAGGACACGTGGTATTTAAAAAATCGTAGCCAAACTTGGGCTTCCTTGGTCGTCCAGTGGTTAAGAATTCGCCTGCCACTGCAGAGGACATGGGTTCGATCCCTGATCCGGGCAGATCCCATGTGCCTCGGAGCAACAGAGCCCACTCTCTCAGAGCTTGTGGTCCACAACAAGAGGAGCCACGGCAATGAGAAGCACGCACAGTGCAACGGAGAGCAGCCCCTACTTGCTGCAACTGGAGAAGGCCCGCAACAGCAAAGACCCAGCACAGCAAAGTAAATTAAAAAAAAAAAAAAGTAGCCAACCTTGCTTGTGTACGGATGACATGCCCTGGTATTGGTCTAATACCGCATTTAATCCTTACATTAGCCACATGTATTGCACGCATGCTCAGTCATGTCCAACTCTTTGCAACCACATGGACCACAGCCTGCCAGCCTCCTCTGCCCATGGGATTCTCCAGGCAAGAACACTGGAGTGGGTTGCCTTTTCCTCCTCCAGGGGCTCTCCCCAACCCAGGGATCGAACCCACATCCCCTGCATGGGCAGGAGGATTCTTTACCACTGTGCCCCCTGGGAAGCCCAGCCACAATTTTAGGTACTTCTATTAGCTTCACTTTTCATATGTGAGGGAACTGAATAATAGATACGTTACACTACTTGCGCAAGATCACAAAGCAAGTAATAGGCAGAACAGGGATGTCACCCAAGGGAGTCCGATTCCAACAGTGACAGATGTTCCTGTGGCTGGGGACGTGCTCTGTGGTACAAGAACTTATTGTTCCAATTGTGGCTCAGTGGCAAAGAATCAAGCTGCCAGTGCAGGAGGCACAAGAGCCTCAGGTTTGATCCCTGGGTCGGGAGGATCCCCTAGAGAAAGAAATGCAACCCGCTCCAGTATTCTTGCCTGGAAAATCTCATGGACAGAGGAGCCTGGTGGGCTGCAGTCCATGGGGTTGCAGAGTTGGACATGGCTTAGCAACTAAACAAACGACAAGTTCAGGGGGCTCTGCTCTCACACCCAGTCACCCTAAGGGATCTTCAATATGTCTGCAAAATACATCAGGAATCCTCGTCTAGCAAGAACTTACGTTACCCACATGTTCTTGAAAGAACCCTATAGTCTGCAACGCTTGGATTCAGCTCCACTGAAGAGATGGTGTTAGCCGACACGGGGAGTGACCATCAAGCTGAGTGTCTGGGGTCTGGTAGGAAATACTCATCGTAGGGGATTGTACTCAGGATAAAGTGACACTCCAGGTATAGATATGAGCAGTCCCTGCAGTGGACAGATCCCAGATCCCTAACGTACTTTGGATCTGCAAATGTTGTTTCCAGTTGATGACATCTGATGTGGTAAGGGACTCCTGACAGTTCTTGAGATCCTTAGAAAAGATTTGGTAGGTGTTGGTGTAGTGATCAAAGTCGTCTGCCATCTCCTGTTTGGGTAATATAAATAAATCAAACTGTTCATATCCAGTGATTGGGATACTTGTTTGGTATTTCATTATAGAGTGCTATTTTACAAACTAAATATCGCTATTCTTCTTGGTGTGCTATCATCATTCCTGAATCATTTTCACCATACAACTAAGTCAGGGATTTAATGAATGATTCCACTTACAAGGAAGAAACACTTGATGAAGGTATTTTTATGTTGCATGACAATTTCAAATCAACCAAACACTTACCAGTTTAGAATGCATTCTTCAGTGATTCCACAGTCCTCAGGAGAAAGAATGAATTTTTGTTAAAGACAAGCTTCTGTTGCAAGAGTAAAAGTTACTCTGTTTCAAAGCCTTGGAACAAATGCATTATGAGGACAATAGTGAAATAGACACAGGTAACCTTGCATTAGAATTCTCACATGTCATAAAGCTGTACAGAATGAAGACCCAGGATGCCTTTAAAATGTAAATTGCAATACACTGTTTAAAAAATAATTCATTTTTCCAACAAAGCTGAAACACAAAATTTACTCAAAAAGATTGCCTCAAAATTAACAAAGAAAAAATGAGACTATTTTGAAGCTGAGAGAAGAAATCAGAGAAATCTACCCAACAAGGGCAGAATAGCTGGAAATCATTGACCAGGAATGCCCTCCCCATTCATAACACCAGCAATTTGTTTTCTAAAGATTGCATAAAAAAGTGAATCTTATTCTTTTTAGATTTCAATAATTAAAGTATCTTTACTTTTGTATTCTGTTTAATTTGGTATTTTTTAAGAAATTCACTACACATTAAAATTTTACTTCCAAATAATTCATCAAATGATACTATACGGTTACATATTTTTGCATGTGGGAATTTTTATACTTTATTTTCAATATGCTTATAACATATTTATATTTGAAACAGACTAGCAACTTAGTTTGAGTGATTTTTAAAAGTCTAGTACTGAAAATATATCCCCAAATACAAGCATCATAACTTGTTATTTTTATTTCCTTAACATTGTCACCGGAGAAGGAAATGGCAACCCACTCCGTGGTCTTTCCTGGAGAATCCCACGGCCAGGGGAGCCTGGTGGGCTGCAGTCCGTGGGGTCGCAAAGAGTTGGGCACGACTGAAGCGGCTTCTCACACAACGTTATTACATTTACCTTCACACATGTTGGGATGTTCCTTTCTCAGCTTAGAACACAACCTCTGTTCTTGTCAACCCGTCAAAAACCTATTATTCTTCAAAATTCACTTTTGGCAAAACGTCTTCCGTGAAAGCTCTCTGGTCCTTGCCCTGCATCCTGACATCAATCGTCTCATCATCTCTTGGCCAGCGCTACTCCTGTATCTCAAATATTTACAGTACATTCTCACATCTTGTTGGATTTGTTTTGCTTGTCTGTTTCCCACCAGACTCTAAGCTCTCGAGCACAGGGACCTGTTCACTATCACTGCATTTCATTTCTGTATCCCCAGGTCTACCACACTGCCAGGCACATAGCCAATACAAACACAGATGCACATTCGTTCTACCCCTGGCCCCTTACCTGCTCCTGAGGGCGGATAACCACTGTCTGAAAATCAGGCCACTTGTCCACCAGGGCCTTTAGACCAAATGGGTTTCCCTGGTTCATGTGGAAGACGGTCCCATAAACCTGCAGTGTCCCGAGAAAGTGAGAGGGTCAGCTTATCAGGCGGGGCTGTGCAGCGCCTTGTGTGGTCAGGACAAGGTTCATTTCGATGAAATCAGGTTAAGTACCCAAAAGGGCCTTTACTTTGGTCTTCAGGGTCTTCAGGTTCTACCTTATTATTCCAAATGGAAATAGACTTTGGGCCAAACAATGGGAATATTCTCTTGTGTGTGTGTGTTAGTTGCTCAGCCATGTCCAGCGGTTTTTGACCCCATGGACTGTAGCCCACCAGGCTCCTCTGTCCGTGGAGTTCTCCAGGCAAGAACACTGGAGTGGGTTGCCGTTTCCTTCTCTGGGGGATCTCCCCAACCCAGAAATCGAACCCAGGTCTCCTGCCTCGAAAGCATATTCTTTACTGTCTGAGCCACCAGGAAAATCAAATATCTTATTACTATGTTTTAAAATCCAGATGTATAAAACGAATAAGTTAAAATCATCTGCTAACACACTGTAGAATGTAGTGTTACATCTTTCCTTTTATTCCATTTATTTACACACACACATTCAGGGTTCCCTGATGCCTCAGTCAGTAAAGAAACTGCCGGCAATGCAAGAGTCCCGGGTTTGATCCCTGGGTCAGGAAGAGCCCCTGGCGGAGGGCATGGCAACCCACCCCAGTGTTCTTGCCCAGAAAATTCCGTGGATAGAGAAGCCTGGTGGGCTACAGTCCATGAGGTCACAAAGAGTCGGATACAACTGAGTGACTGATACACACACACAGTTTTTAAACATGAAATTAATTACCTAATGCATATTAATTTAACATCTGTTCCCCCCCGCCCCGCCACGTACACATACACACTATACCACGAGCATGTTTCTGCATCAATAAACACAAATCTATATAATCATTTTTAATGGTTGCATAATATCCATTATATGGAAGGACTACTTCAATTTTACTCTGCCTTATTGCTGGTCATTTCAGTGTTTTCTAATTTTCAACAGTTTATTTTTCAATGAACATTGCTTTTGCATAAATCTTGGTAAATATGTCTGATATTACAAATTCTACAAGGGGAATTTCCGGGTCAAACATCAACTGTTGTTTAAATATTTTATTTTTCTTGCATACGTCTCCGAATTACCCTCCATAAAGGTTCAATGAATTCCCATCTATGTAAAAAGTAGAGACAGGGCATCGTGTTAACAGCACAAGCTTTGGTGGCCAAGGTCCAAGGGCATTGCTTATTGGGCAATTTTTTATATCTTTGCAACCACTTGTTCAAACATTGGTGCCCTCAAAACACTGAAGAGGCTGAGAAAGAGATTGTCCAAACTGGAATGAGCCACGTGGTCGGGGAGAGGAAAAACAGCAATCCATGCAAGGGTGGACCATAGGACCTAGATGCATTGAAACAAGATGCCTTAGCAGATGGCAGGGAAGAATGCCAAAGACCAGTGCCCAAAGGAAAGGTGACTATTTGAACGACAAACGACCACCTCTCACCCTGTGCTTCCCTACTCTTGCCATGAAATGTCAGTGTCAGACTAAGCGGAGAGAGGAGGAGGCAAACTTTGACTTTGATTTTCAAACTTTGACTTAACTGAGTTTTTATAAATTAAATTTCTGCCATCAGCAGATGCACAACATAGAAATTAAATGCAGTTTTAAGGAAAACAAAATACATGTTTTTCAACGTGACGGTTGGAACCGGTGGCATTTATACACACATTTCTGTGTGCGTGATGGCGTCACTTAACCAGAACATCGTGACTCAGGTGAGTATAGAGGAAAAGAACCTCATTAAAACTGAGGATCTCATATTGAGTTAGTTTGCCTTACAGTAGAGTTGGGCTAAGATTACTAGTGCCAAGAATTATCTCCAAAAAGTTGGGATCCTCTTAACACAAGAAGTAAATAACAATTCAAACCCCAGACACAGAGCATAAAAGAAAACAATCTAACTTGGAAAATTTTTCAAAGTAGACACTTATGATAGAAATAACTCAGGCACCTAACTGATTTAGTAGCTCCTCCTCCTGAAAAAATACTTCTGAGGTTATGTTGAATACGTGGTGCAGTTCCTGATATTCAGTAAGTGTTCAAGAAGTATTGGTTATTAATTTTATCATATCTTATTTAATCCTCCAAACATCTCTGCAAGGTGATGATAACCCTGCTTAGGACTTGCCTGGTCTTTCAGATGGTGAAACATCTGCCCGCAAGGTGGGAGACCTGGGTTTGATCCCTGGGTTGGGAAGATTCCTTGGAGTAGGAAATGGCAACCCACTGCGTTATTCTTGCCTGCAGAATCCCACGGACAGCGGAGGCTGGCAGGCTACAGTCCACAGGGTCTCAAAGAGTCAGACATGACTGAGTCACTAACACACACACACAACCCTGTTTAAGGCCGAGGACTGTCTACCAAGAGTATTTACTTCCTCGTTTTACTCACTGTACATGCAGTAGCACTAAGGTGTGTGCAGTGTCGCGCAGAAAACAATGGCTCTGTGGGATCAGAGCCGCCTGACTCCTGACCTTGCTCCCCTCCACAGCTCCCCGCCCTCCAGCTCAGTGTGGTGTGCCCTGGGCTACACCAGGCTCCTGTGGCTCAGTCTACACATGACCCTAACCAACGCGTCCGGGCACCAGGGAAGACGTCACGTCCAACTCTTTGTGACCCTTGGACTATGGAGTCCATGGGGTTCTCCAGGCCAGAATACTGGAGTGGGTAGCTGTTCCCTTCTCCAGGGCATCTTCCCAACCCAGGGACTGAACCCAGGTCTCCCGCACCACAGGCGGATTCTCTACCAGCTGAGCCACAACGGAAGCCCCCACCCCCAACCTCACCCACCCTGGCTGAAAAAGGATGTAATAGGATGCTATTCCTTCCATGTTTCCCATCAGCATGATCAGTATAATCAACTCTACTAAATTATACGTCATATTCATGCTGCTCTGAGAAGTCTGAAGCTGTGATTCATCAATAAAACGAAAAGCATTTATTTTAGAGACAAGCCCTCTATGCTAACAGAGTTTATACCTAAGGCTTTTGTTGTTGTTGTCTATTGTTTTTGTGTATCTTATAAATTGTATTGGTTTTTAATTCAAATTGTCCATTGCCAGTACACAGAAAAACAATTTTTGTATTTCATATATTCACCCTAAAGCCTTTGCTAAACTTACTTATACATCTAGGAGCTTTGGGAATCTTTGTTTCTTTTTGGTAGATTCCTTAAGATTTTTCTCATTAGACAATTATACTATTTGTGAATAAACACTATTTTATTTTTTTCCAATATATATTTTCCTTATTTCTTTTTATCATCTTATTGTGTTGGTTAGGATATCTAGTACCATTCCCACCAGGAGTGGTGGGAATGAATATCTTTGCCTTGCTACTGACCATAGGAGGAACATTAAGTCTTTCACTATTTAGTATAATCTTAGGTATAGATTATTCCAGTACACTTTTTATCAGGTTGAAGAAATTTCCTCCTATTTCTAGTCTGCTGATAGTTTTATTTCTATCAGAAATATTACGTTCTGTCAAACATTTTGCTGCATCTCTTGAGAGAAGATCTACAGCTTTTCTTCAGTCTGTTGGTAACAGTGAATTGCATTGATTGACTTCTGAATGCTGAATCTGCCTTGCCTTTCCAAGATGAACTTACCTTGGTTATGATGTATTAGCCTTTTGATATGTTGATGGATTTGTCTTGATAGTATTTTGTTAATGGATATCTCTGTCCACAAAGAATATTGTTCTGCAGTCTTCTTTTTGGTATCAGGTTAATTCTGGACTCATAGAATGATTTGGGAAGTGTTTTCTCCTCTGCTCCATTCCGCAAGGGTTTTTGTGGAAGTGATATTATTTCTTCCTTATGTGTGAGGTAGAAATTGCCACCACTGACAATACCTGAGCATGGAATTTTCTTTGTTGGAAGGTTTCAAGTGACAAAATCAGTTTCTCCAATAGATACAGGGCAATTTAGGTTGCATATTTCTTCTTCAGTGACCTTTGGTGAGTCATGCTTTTCACAGAATATACAATGTGAAATTTATGGACTTCAAAAAGTTCATAGTATTGAAAACTGTTTTCACTGGAAGTGCCAAGTCTTAACCACTGGACTGCCAGAGAAGCCCCTAGATTGTTATCCTTTTTAGTTTAAGCACTCAATGCTATCTGCTTCTCTGTTATCAACTGCTTTAGTTGCATCCCAAAGCTGCTCATACATTGTATTTTTATTTTCATTCAACTAAAATGCTTTCTAATTTTCCTTGCAATTTTAAGCATGACTTATTTAGAAGTGTGTTGTATACTTTTAGAAATTCAGGTGTTTTCCAGATACCTTTCGGGTTTTGGGGTTTTGTTTTTTTTTTTGAGTTTAAGTCTATATTGTTCAAGAACATACTTGCTATATTTCAATTCTTCTAAAAATTTTAAAAATATGGTCTATTTTGCTAAACATTCTACGTGCACTTGAAAATGTTATGTACCCTGCCATGGCTGTGGGAAGCATTCTGTGAATGTCGATTCATCCAAGTTGGTTCCTTTCATACGCAGTCAGTTCATACATGTGTGTGTAGGTTCTCTGCCTATCCTGCAGATCACTGCGGGAGAAGTGTTGAACTCCTTATACCTGTGTGCTTCCCTATCTCTTCTTTCAGTTTAATCAGCTTTTGTCTCATGTACGTTGAGCCTCTGTTGCTGGGTGCATACATTTCAGGCTTCTTGTATCTTCTGGGTGCATTGATTCCCTCATCATAATGCAGTGGCACTCCTTATCTCTAGTAAAGGCCTCCTCCCTTTGTAATACATATTATTGCAAGACAGAACACTCCTCTTCCCTATGGCACATGTGATGATCTAGGTGTCTGTGGTGCATAGATCATCCCTTAGACATTTCTGTCTCATTCAAAATTAAACCTAATCCTTGGGGGTTGACAAAAACAGAATTTGACCGATTATTAATTACAAAGAAGAACCATAATCGATAGCTTTTCGTCAGGCACTTGATTGTTTGATAAGAATAAACATTGGCTTTGCCAATTTTGGGGAAAAAGAGCCTTCCAGAGTTACATAACATGAGTTGAAGGGGCGCGAGGGAAAGCTTTGCGTCATCACAGAGCAAAGATGATGATGGGCCCCAGCCACAGCGTCGCCACTCCCTGCTGGCATGATGACCTCGGTCAGGCCATCTACCTGAAGCTCCCCTTCCTCTTTGGTTCTACAGACACAGCACAGCTGCCCGGCAGACAGGGGATGGGCAGCCGGGTGAGTGAGCGCGGCACGGGGTAGGTGCTCACGGCTTCCTCGTTCTCTCTCCTGCCTTTCCTCAAACTGCTCCTGGCCCTTTTCCCCTCGAGAACGTTCCTCTCTCACCTTTAAGGACTCAGGCAGACTCTTCCTCAAGCACTTCTCTAACGTCTGCAGCAGCTGTGGGCCTTGTAACTGGAGCATCTGGGCAGGTCCCTTAATCTACAGAGAGGATCGGCAAGCAGGGAGTGAGAAGTGCTGGGAGACACACGAAGACGCCCACGGCCCTGTCTCCTGGGAGACAGCAAGGGTTAAAAAACAAAACACAGCAAAACCCCCTCCACTCCCTTCGCGTTTCTGAGTGTCTTCCTGCAAGGAACTGCCCTTCTCCCATTGGGCTGAAGCCTCACCATGACCCTCACGTTGTCTGTGACAAGGCCAGGTACTAATCCCTCAAACTCCCCATCTTCAACAGCTCATGCAAGTCAACGTAAAAAACCTCAAACAAACAAAGAGCCAAACACCCCACTGAAAGGGCGCAGGAACTGGATCGTTCTGACTGTTTACTCTCCCTTCCGACCCGCTTAGGTGGAGGGCTTATCCCCACTGAACAATGGCAACAAGAGTTCTAATGGCTTGACAAAGCATTCATCATCTTCTCTCCTGCACACGGTCCTCCGCAGTGTGATCCACTCTCAGCCCAAGCCAACATTGGCATTCAGAATGATCCTCCATGAAACGTTGCTGACTCCTTTCCATAAAATAACCCTTTTCTGCCTCGCCTTTCAGATGTTTGTAGATCTTACCATCTGAGAGTTCTTCTGTTGAAATAATACCCTCGTCCTATTTCAGCACTCCTTTCCCCTTTGCAAATAATCCTTTCAAATAAAGTCTCTCCTTACCAAAGTCTGGCTTTGATTTTTATTTAAGGGTATTTTGGTACAGTTTCATTGTAATTGAAATAGACTTTTGTGACTAGCCTGGAAACCTAAGTATTGATTTATTCATCTATGCAGTCATTTGCTTATTCAATCACTCTTTAAGTGTTACTATTTATTGAGAACTTACTGTATTCAACAAATGAGTTCAGCTAGACTGAACTGCATTTCCCAGAATTCCCTTCCCTTTATGTTTCCACTTAGGGTGGACCACAGAGATTCTCTGGTAGCTCAGCTGATAAAGAATCTGCCTGCCATGCAGGAGACCTCAGTTCGATTCCTGGGCTGGGAAGATCCCCTGGAGCAGGGAGAGGCTACCCACTCTGGTATTCTTGCCTGGAGAATCCTCATAGACAGAGGTGCCTGGTGGGCTACCATCCATGGGGTCACACAGAGTCAGCCCCGCCTGAGTGGCTAAGCAGACAGCACGGAGAGATTCCTATGGAAAACCTGGTAGTGGTCGTTCAGTCGCTCAGGCGTGTCTGACTCTGTGACCCGTGGACGGCAGCACGCCAGGCTTCCCTGTCCTTCACTATCGCCCGGAGGTTGCTCACACTCATGCCCATCGAGTCGGTGATGCCATCCCACCATCTCATCCTCTGCTGCCCCCTTCTCCTCCCGCCTCCAGTCTTTCTCAGTGGAAAACCCGGAGAGCAGAATTAAAGCAGCGGGCATTCTGCAGCTGACCTCAGGGATGTCCAGGTGGCTCCGTGATAAAGAATCAACCTGCCAATGTAGGAGACTCAGGAGACGTTGGTTCAATCCCTGGGTCAGGAAGATCCCTTGGAGGAGGAAATAGCAACCCGCTCCAGTATTTCTGCAGGAAAACTCCACGGACAGAGGAGCCGGGCAGTCTGCACAAAGTTGGGCATGGAACAATAACTGAAGATGTAAGGTCGTAGCTGGGCTGGCAAGTGCTTCTCTCTGCCCTGGGTCTGCCTTTAGCCCGTCTGTCACCTGGGACAGGGGAATATTAACCCCTAAGTGGTGTGCAAATGTTTTCTCCCATTCCATAGATTGTTCATTTTGTTGACTCTTTTGCTGTGCAGAAACTTTTTAGTTTGATATAGTCCCACGTGTTTATTTTCTGCTTTCAACACTTGAGCTTTTGTTGTCATATCCAAAGATACCATTGCCAAGACCACAGTCGAGGTTTCCCCCCATGTTTTCTTCCAGGAGTTTCATGATTTCAGGCCCTAGTGCATTTAAGCCTTTAATCCATTCTAGGTTAATTTTTTGAAATGGTCTTTGTATCTTGATTGTAGCTGCTGTGGGCAGTCACTGAGGCTGGTAGGAATCACTTAAGTCCTGTAAATAGATGTTTTCTTTACTCTAAGGTGAAGTGTGCTGGTCCCCTCTGTTGTCCTGCTTTCCCACACAGGACCACAGACTATTTCTTTAACTCAGTATCTGACTTAACAGCTCTGGCCTGTCTTCATTTTCTTTAGGCCCTAATTCCAGAAGACCTTCAAAATCCAGCTTTTGTTCCCGTTTCAAAGTCTTACTCAAATTTCCCTTTTCTCTCTATTGACTCCCTTTAGTTCCTCAATCCAAACAGAACAGATCACTCTCTTTTCTGTACTCCCCAAAGATTATGGACGCATTTCAGTCAAAACTTGTCACAGCAAATTGCAGTTTGCCTTCTAGATTATCAGTCCCCTGGGCAATGTCCTAAATAATTTATTCTATTCTTCTCAGTGTTATACAATGTTAATTGTACATGTGTTAATGTAATAACACCGTTAGGTACACATTAGAAACTCAAAGTTTATTGATTCCATGTGTGACGTGCTTGCATAGACACAGCCATCTCTTTAGGCACTCTGCTTAGCAAGGGAAAAGACCCATTCTTCATTCAACAGGTGTCAGTAGAAGACCAACGACATTCTGGGCTTGGGCATTCCTACCAGAGGTTTCTTCGAAAAAAGACTCAGACCAGAATGGAAGTACCTGTGCCATACCCTGGAAAATTTCAGGACAGTAGAAGTGCATCATTTCTAAACATTAATCAGACATGGCTTGCACGCTAAGTCACTTCAGCTGTGTCCGACTCTCGTGACCCTATGGACAGTAACCCACCAGGCCCCTGGTCCATGGGATTCTCCAGGCAAGAATCCTGCAGTGGGTGGCCGTGCCTTCCCCAGGGGATCTTCCTGACCCAGGGATCGAGCTCCTGTTTTCTTACGTCTCCTGCATGGCAGGCAGGCACTTTACCACTAGTGCTGCCTGGGAAGCCCATTCAGACATTAGCTAGGAGCATTTCACAGAAAGATTGCATGAGAATAAAATAAGCTGAATTTGATGCCAGATTACTGGGGATAGAATATTAAAGTTCTGACAAGTACGTTTGGGAAAACTTTCTTCACTTGCATGTATGTACACACACACACACACAAATTGAAGACAAATATAATGTTCAATAAATGCAGTTGACTAAAACTGAGGAGACTCATTTTAGGAGGTTGCCAGCCTTGAGAACAGCCAAAGTCCAGTGAAGCAGAGTTTGAGACCTTTGACAAACCCATTCCAGCACTGGGAATTTATCCAAAGAAAACAGTCCAAATGAAGAAAAATACTCTGAAAAAGTTTGAAAGCAATACAATATTAACTAACAGGGGTATACTGGACACAATCTCCGTGTCCTGCTATAAATATAGTTCATGTAAACATGATCTATCATTATTTTACTACTCTAAAACCCATTTTAACATGAAGGTTATATGTGGCCACATGAGACTCTTAAAAATGAACATAAAAAGGATGGACATGACACTGCAAAAATCCTAGAGGCCTTTTTGTGTGCATATTACATAAACACAGACAATGAAAATTTAGAAGGAAACCAAATTATATACGAGCATTATAACTGAGATTTTAAAAATTACATTTGTTTTTTGCGGTTTTAAATTAACATTAATGTCATTTGGATTGCAGTCTGTTGACTACAACCTACCTCATCTATTGGAAACTTCAAAAAGGGCACTGAATTTCCCTGGCCATCACTTATCCAAGGTGGACAAAAAAGGCTGACTACCATAAAATATTACTAGGGAATTGAATAAGATCATGTTTGCCTAGTATATCTACAAACTGTTACATAAACATCACCCAAACCCACATATTTCTTCCCAGAAGCTGTTACCTCTTCCGGCACCTCATCTATTAACAGGAGGCTCCCAAATCACTCCACATTTATGTCTCAATTCAGAACAGAAGCCTGTCCTTCCCCAGGGAGAACTTCTTACAGAATCAGGACACTGCCCCGTACAAAGGGCATGCCTGACGCAGATTTCTCCAAGGGAACCACTTCCTTTCCGCCCGGCATAACTCTCAGCACTGAGGGGCTCAGAAATTCTTACCCACATCCAACAGCAGCATTTTGCTTCGTTTGCTTCAGTGAGGAGCCAGGGGCTGCGGCGTCTCAGAGCAGGGACCCTCCTTGGTTCTCACCCGGGACACTGTCTCCCCACTGAGTCTCTGCAGAGATCCCCCCCAGGGACAACAGGCAGAAGACCATTCCAGAGGATGACAGGTATCCTCTGGCTCCTGTGGTCTTGGAAAGTGTGTGTAAATGTGAGCCCCAACCTGCGGAGCTGAGAGTCCTACCTGAACCCACGCAGCAGGCTGCACTTCTGGGGCTGGGCGTGGGGGGTCCCTCCCCCAGGTCCTGTGCTTGGCAGATGGTCCCTGACGCTCACTTTTCCAGGGGTCTGAGCTGCTTTCTGACCCCAGAGGTCCTTCCAGTCCTTCCAGCGCTCAGCAACTCTGAGCTGTGAGATCCGGAGGCAGGCAGGATCGCTACAGGCAACGCCTACCTGCCTCATCCCCGCCCCCTTTTCAGAAACAGCTGCCGCAAAAGCAAGAGAGAGCCACTGTTAGAACTCACGCAGAGAAGCAGAGCTCTTTCTTTAGCCATAAGAAATTACTTACTTGGAAAGACTAAAGGACCTAGAAAGTACCCCCACCCCCACATTTAGAATAAGCTTGGTAAACCTCAAATGGAATAAACAGAAGGAGAACCACCGCCAGACATATCATAATTAAACTACTGAAAATCCCAGATAAAAAGATAACCTTCAAGGAAGCCACAGCAAAAGCAGGCATGACACATAAGGGAACAGAGGTACAAACAGCAGCTGACGTTCAGAAGGGACACAGGTCGGGAGGCAGTCGTGTCACTGATTCAGTCTTACCTGCTTGCAGCGCGGGAGTCTAGGAAATCAAGAGACAACAGTCCCGGCAAGGAGCAGTGACTGTTCAGATGGC